TGAACAGGCTGGCAGGGAACTTTGAAACCATATCATATGAGGAACGGTTGAAGGGACTCTTCGTTAATGACATCAATGGTGACAGCCTCAATAATAGTAAACAATTGAGTACTTGCAATGTGCCTGGAACGGTGCTAAGTGAGTCCACATTATACCATTTAATCCTCATGCAGCCTTACATTGAGGGGCACTATTATTTACCACCCCCTCATACACAGATGAGAAAACTAAAGCTTAGGTAAAAAAGTTACCCAATGTCACACAGCTAAATCAGTGGTAGAACCACGGGATTTAAACCATAGGAGATGGCTTTATGGTGAATGCAACATCTTTAAATATTTCAAGGATTGTCAAGGGACAGGACAGATTTGTTTCATGTGGTTGAGATTACTCGAACCAAAACTATTGGGTAGAAGTTCAGGAAGACAGATTTCTGTTGAGTATAGGCCATCTAATCATTTTTTTTAATTGAAGTTTATTAGGGTGACAATGGTTAGTAAAGTTAGGTTTCAGGTGTACAATTCTGTAATACATCATCTATATGTCACATTGTGTGTTCACCACCCAGAGTCAGTTCTCCTTCCATCACCATATATTTGATCCCGTTTACCCTCATCTACCATCCTCCTCCCCCCTTACCCTCCGGTAACCACTAAACTATTGTCTGTGTCTATGAGGTTTTGTTTCTTCATTTGTCTTGTTGCTTTCAGTTTTATATCCCACATATCTGTGAAATCATATGGTTCTTGACTTTTTCTGTCTGACTTATTTCGCTTAGCATCTAATCTTCAGCAAAAAACGGGCTTTTCTTTTTAAAACCATTGACTCAACCCGAAATTTCTGGTTTACCCTGGCGGACTGGATGGTTCTTCCTCCGTCCTCATCTTCTTGGGTGTTAATCACACTCGCTTTCATATGCTTGGATGCCTGAGAGCATATTTTATTTCTCTTCTTCCTTTGGACTTCTTTCCCCCTTTATGTCCTTTACTCATGAGTATCTGACAAAGCCTTGTTCTGAGAGTCCAGTGTTTCAGCCACTCTTCTGACCTCTGGTCCCTATGTACTGCTTTGGTTTTTAATGGAGATCTTTTCCTGATTTCCACATCTCATTTGCAGGTGTTCCATTTTTCCTCAGAAACGCAACATAGCAAAACCCAGACTTACTTTACCCCTCAAACTGTTCTGCTCCCTAACCTCCTCATTTCTGTTGGTGGCACCCCTACTAGTCTGTTCCGCCAGGTCTACCTTTTTTTTTTTTGTTGTTCCTCCTGAAATCAACCACTAAATCTTACCAACTTTTCATTTATAGGATCTCTTGAATTTGTTCCTTCTTCTCCAGCCCCACTCTCATCCTCAAAGGGTTTGTCCTTGCTACCTCTCTCCAAGTCTTCTAAATGCTCTTGTCACTGCATAATTCTAAATCCCATCACTTGCTTATATAAGAACCTATGACAGCTCCTCTTTGCCCATCAAATTGGGTCCATTGACTCAACCCAAAGTTTCAGACAGCTGTTCCCAATACCTCCCAGCAGAAACTTTCTATTCCTACCTTGCTGGCCCTGGGCAGTTATCCCCTGCCCTGAATACAAGTTTCCTCCTGCCCCTCATTGCCCTCACTTATGCTACTCTCTTCCTGAGAGTAGTCTTGTCATTTGCTCGTTCAGTTTTTATTCTTTTCAGGACCATTTTGTGGTCTACTTCTTCCTCTCAGTAATCACTTCCTTCTCAGCATCTCTCTACTTCTTGTAACCTACTGAATTTCACATTCTAGGACTTGTTTAGAGACTCTATTAGAATTTTCCATTTAAAAAAAGTCCCTTAGTTCCTCACAGTAGATTTTGAACTTCTTTAGGACAACTCCTTGTATGTTCCTTATCACAGCAACATCTAGCACTGGACTGCTCAGACAGATGCTTGTTGACTCGGAACTAAAGAGAATAATACTAATGACAATTTATTAAATTCTTCAAATGTACCAGTCACTTTTCTAAGTAGAGGCAATGCCATCATTTTCAGATAAGGAAACTGAGACCAGGAAGTTAAGTAAGTTGCCCAAATTCACACAGCTGATAAGTGTTGGACCCAGGATTTGGACCCAGGCAGTTTGGGTCCAGAGCCTCCATGCTCAGTCACTGCACCATTATGGTTCTACAGGATATTGGTCAACTCCAGTCCTGTGCTCTTCTTGAGAACCAGTATGACCCATCTCTGTTGAGCTTTTGTTATAGGATGGACCCTTCTCCCCTCAGAAATGGGGATACACAAATGTGGTATTTAGGGAGGCAACCTCATCACTGGCCATGTTTTCAGGGAGTGTGGACCAGTGACTTTGGAAGGCCATTAGTTGAAAACTATCTTGCTTGGTTCCAATCGTTATTTAGGACAATAAAAAGAAGGCTTTGCCTCTGTTGTCCTCAAATTTTCTTGCTATTTCTAAGAGTGATAAATATGGAAACTTCTGGCCTCACACCCTGCCAACATTTGGTATTTTATCTTTTCATAGGGTTGATTTCCTTTATTTCTGTCTTCTTTGACATATGCCTCATTTACATCTCAACTCTGAGAGTGTTGACAAAAGGATCCCATCCCATTTCTTTGTTTGATTGGCTAGGGACACCTTGCTACCAGATTTATGTTTTTACTATAGGTGCAAATGAAGCAGTTGTTTCTGAGTATTAATGAATTAGACATTTTTTTAGAATATTAGCTTGAACTTTTATATGATTAAAGGAAGTGTTAAAGAAAAAGGACATATTTATGGGAAAAATGATATTTGGAGAAGCTGATCCTTGGAGCAGAAGTAAAGGCCAAGCAAGACCACTGAGCATTGGCCGGTGATCTCATGCGACAGGAAGCAGGAGTGATGGACACACATGTGGATGTTCATGGGTGACCCTGGCCACATATATATGCATTCTTTATGATTTGGGTAGCAAATATTATATTTGATGCATGAAATTTTGTTGTAAAATATGCATTATTATTCTCTCGGTGTTTCTTGCCCTGGAATGCTGTACAGATATTTAAAAGTAAGTACTTTTAAATATCAGCTCTAGCTATAGAAAATTTATATACTTTATACACCATCTCTACTTTAAATGTAACTTAAAAAAACAAACAAACAGGTATATAGTCCTGCTGTTGGCTAGCTACCACTATTTTATTTGGAACACAAAATATTTGTCATCTGGGGACTGCCTGGATTTACCTTCAATTTTTTAACATTTAAAATATGTCTAGAGAGCTGGCATCCCAAGCCAACTCCTAACCAATGCTCCACTCGGCCAGCCCATGACTTTGTATTTCTCTACGTCATCTTTTGATTATTTTCCTGCTTTGTTTCAATGCTATTTATTAACTTTTCATTTAAGCCTATTATCTTGGACACCTTGTAATTTACAATTTCTGATATGATTTTCTTTTTTCCTGTTTTTTTTCCTGAGTTCAATCAAATCTCACTTTATTTAACCTGGTTATTTTGGTCCAGCTCTATTCTTAGTTTCTGTATTTCTGTTTAAAGGTGTTTTAATCTGATTAAGGGTTTTCATATCCCCAAATGCTTATTTGAGGATATGTAATTTAGTTTGGAGTATTATGTTACAGTTTTCTTTAGCTTCATGATTGGATTTTGGGTCTTATTTGCGTATTTTGCCTTTTTGGGTAATAGTTTTATATAGATATGGTCTACTTTTTCTGTTTTTTATTTCATGGACAGGGTTCACATATGCTCTCTTCTATCAGTTTTGTTCTCGTCTGTGAAATTTTTTAATAGGTGATGGTGGTGGTAGTGGTGAGATGAGGGGAGGGTTTGGCATGTGTTGTTTCTCTCATTTCTGTAGGATCTTTCTTTTCCCTTCTTATTTCCTTTTTAATTTACTACCACATCCTTAAGGGCTTATCACCTTTTTAAATGTATTTGACTTTCTTGTAAAAGCAGTGCTTCTCTGAGGTTGCCATTTCTTGTCCTGCTTACTTTTGGTCTCTCTCCCTGTGAACCATCAAGTCCCAGCATGTGTTCAGTATTTGTCCCTTGGCATTCGGCTTAATTTTGTCTGTGTAATTTTGGGTATAGTTTTGTCTGTGCTTCATCTAAGCCCTCTGCACCCCTCTGCTCTCTTTCATGGATTCTCTTAAGCTCCCCTCTCTAGTTGTCTGCATCCACAGGCTTTAAGTGATTGGCGGTGGGAGACCTGACGGAACAAGTCATTTGAAGACTGCGGTATTTATTGTTTCCTAGTAGTACTGCAAACATGGATCATTGTGTGCTTTTATTTCTTTCCTTGTTCATTGTATGTTTTGGATGGGGAAGTTTTAGGGAAGATTCAAAATCAGGCCATTGTCATCATTCTCTATCTCGATTAGTATATCTTATATCTTTTTTTCTAAAAAAAAAATAAAAATAAAAATAAATAAAATATGTCTAAAAATAAAACATTTTCAGAGAATGTTAATTTAATTAATTTAAAAGTGGAAACCGGACACACTGTGATGTAGTGAAAAGAGCAGTGAATTGGAAGTTATAAGACCTGGGGTTCAGATCTGACCTTGCTCTGTGACCTTGGGCATGTCTGACCAATTTAGGAATAGTTTTTTTGTTTGATTTTTGTCTGGAGAGAAAGAATGAGAGAGGTTTTCATAAATGCTAGCTAGGCTTTTGTGACTCAAGCATACCAGAGTTCTTTCTTATTCTAACAGTGACCTCTTGTGGTATATATCCTTAGTCAATTTCTTGATTTACAAAGTAAACTTGGGATTTATTTTTGTTGTTGTTTCTAGTAACTGTAGTTCTTATTGTTAAACAAGTATGACTTATTTTCAGAAGATAAATCTTAGCTGGAAAGTAGAGGTTGATCAAAATGCTATAGAACACCAAACCTCATTTCATAAATATTCCCCGTGGTTTCTTCAGAAACCGTATATGGCCGACTCTTGACACTTACAGAAAGAGAAATGCTTTGGTTTCTGTGCTGAGTGTTGTGTGTATTCCTTTTCCTCCTAAGGGACCAGGGGAAGAGGCGTTCGGGGGCCTCATCATGCCCCAACAGCCCGGACCTGAGCAGGCTGGAAACCAAAGCAGGTGAGGCGCTTGCGCTCTTAGAGGTCCCCAACACTCTTTCATTTTCATCCTCTCCTTTTGTAGCAAAAATGTTTGCACCAAAGATGTCTAATGTTGGTTTACTGTTTGAAAACTCCAGGAACTTTGTCCAACTTGGTCACACATGAACATTTATTTTTATAAATTTTTAAATTTTTCACAACAGTCTTACCGTTTTTATGATTTGCCCAGCTCAAACATGTACAGATTATAATCTTGATCAGAAATTATTTTGTGAAAGCATTTGGAAAGTTGCAAAACTTGACATCATCCTAGTTCTTGAATTCAAAACTTTAGTTCAAAATCATTACTCACTTAAATGAAACTATGTCAACTATATGAAAACAGCCCTTTTGGGCTTTAAACTGTTTAATTGAGAAAAATATATAACAATATAAATCACAGACTCAGAGTGCTGACAAAAGGATCCCATTCCATTTCTTTGTTTGATTGACTACGGACACCTTGCTACCCAATCTATATTTTTACTATAGGTACAAATGAAGTACTTGTTTCAAAATGTATCATGCAATGGAGTATAGCAGTATAGACTACATTTATAATATTGAATGAAATGAGTTCAAATGTAACATTACATGAAAAAAATTAAGTTTCAAAAAACAGTGACCTATGTTGTTTATGGATACACATCTATGTGGTGAACATGTAAAGTCAAGCATGATAAAACAACCACCTGATTTAGAATGGTGGTAACACTTGGAGGGAGAGGGAGTTTGGGAATGGATAGGGGGAGGCACACAGAGGGAATCAACTATATCTGTAGTGTTTTAGTGACAGATTTTAAAATGAGGAGGAGGATGAAAACATGGTTTATATTTGACCAAGTTAGTTTTTGATACACAGGTATTTGTTATGTTCTTTGTACTTTCATTACACACATATCATTTTATGAAACCAACTAATTTAGGTTTAAAATATATTTTATTATCTTTAAAACTAACTTCATATCAGGAAATTGACTTTTGTGGTCAATGGGAATTTCTACGGTACTCAGGGAAACCTTAGATAGACTGGTTTCTGTGTCTGCATTGTTGCTAAGGGTTTTACATTTACGTGCTAAAAACATCAGCCAATAAACTTTGTGTCAAGTTTTTGTGTCCAGAACTCAAAGCTGTGGTTGAGAACTATAACCACTGAGACAGCAAAATCTTCAAAAACATGCTGAAATTTCTGCTTGACTTACCCAATTTCCTGTTGAATCATAATTTTTATATTTAGCTAACTGTGAACCTAGATGAAAGTGCTTTCTAAAATATTAGGTTGTTGCCCAAGACTGAGACAAACTTTATTTTTTATGGCTCTTAAAATGTAATCACATGATTCCATGCTTCAGTTTCTAGAATAGAAACTAGGTTAGTATGTAAAACCGGACTTTTGTGGGGAGCAGAGCCGGAGGAGATGTGTGAGGAGTGAAGGTGTGGAAAGGCTGGAGTGGGAGGCAACTGATCAAGCAGGGATCCCTGGGAAAGAGCTGAAAGCAAACCCTTATATCTGGCTAATTCTGTTCTGAGAAGAAACACATCTTAGAACCATTCAGAAGGGCCTGTGAGGTTCCTTTCCTTTCTAAAGGGTAAATAAATGCTTCTGTGATTTCTGGCTCAGCCCCATAATTCAACTCTTCCTGGGGTGAATATGTTACCAGTTTTGTTTATCCTGAGAAACACATTGAGAATCCTGGTTTCTCATAGAGCTATTCTATTGAAAAGCGTATTGAATGGAAGGTAAAAATGCTGATTTGAACTTACTGGCTTTGAAATCTCTATTTCTAGTAAATTTAAGTGCATCCTAAATATTTGTTGATTAAATTATTTGTCTGGTATTATCTTCTGGCTTTTCACTTGATATATATTGATTTTATTCACATACTTTGGACTTTGAATATGTCACATACCTAGGAATATGAGTAACTCTGTTTTCTATACTGATGGAATATTCATGTTTACTTTTTGAATCCATATCCATAATTTATCAAAGTGAGGGCAGACTCATAAAAGTAATGATCCAAAAGATTGTGCTGGTGGTTTACAATCCTTTACCTATAGTTCTGAAATCCCCAAAGCCCTGAACACTGAAATATTTTTCAAACTCATTTAGTGACAATGCCTAACCTGAACTGATGGGAGGCCAACGTAGTCTTTGTTTCATTTGTGTGAATGTTCCCATATTTTGCTACAGGGGGCTGGCCCAGAAGACCCTACTGGGGATGGTATGTAATTTGCAGTGTATGCACCATATTGCCTTACTAAAATTCAAAATTTTCTGAATCCCAAACTACATCTGGTCCCAAATGCGTTGGATAAGGGATTGTGAACCTGTACTGGTATGGACTGAGTTTTGTCCTGAACACAGTTCAACTATGTGTTTTATGGTGAATTCTTGTTTATGGGTTAGACAGATTATGTGGAACCTTGCTATGAAAACTGTTGACGGCACCTGCACTATTTAATTACAGCGTTGTCGACAGCCCCTTTCTGTCTACTTCTGCTGCTCAGGTGCTCTCCCCGCCCCATCATGCATCGGCCCCTCCTGGTATTAAGAAGGTCTATTAAAAGGCAAGCCTGGACTTGCTGCAACTGGGAGTGGCAGTTTGCAGCATGGAGTACATTAAGGGAAGGCCCGTGTGTTGGGTGCATAGGTAAATTGTACAGCTTTCCTGCCTCTCCTGGGCGACATCATCACTGCATGTTTGGAAAATTTAACATGTGTTATTTTTCTCTGGTCAAGTGTAATACAGGTACATTAGAGATTTTGGAAAATATAAAAGGAATTAACCCATAGCCCCAATATTTGGAAATGACCACTGTCACCCCATTTTACAGAGGAAAAGCAAAGCTACTTTCTCAGCGTCAGTCAGCTGGTAGGTGGCATAGCTAGGGCTCACACCCAGACAGAGACTCTACAACCTGTGCTCTTCACAGGCCTGCCTGGTCAGCTTGTGCTTTTTTCAGTTAAAAAAAAAAATATATATATATATATATATGTGTGTGTGTGTGTGTGTGTGTGCGCCACACTATTACTGCTTTCTCTCTCTTTCTGTCTCTCTGTGGAACCCTTTGATTGCCCCTGTGATTTCCAACTCACACTGTGTGGTCACTTCATTGGTACCGGGTCCACCCTGAGAAGGCATGGATTCCCTGAAACATTACAGACTGGGTGCCGGGTGAGGGCCTTAAGAGGTGGACTTCAGAGAAGGGAGGTGAGGAATATGTCTCCAGCACTGCTCCTGAGTGCCCCCCACAGTGGTGCCCCATCTAGCTGTCAGTGTCTCAGATCTTGAGATATTGACCATGTGAAACATAATCATGATTTACAATTCTAATATGATTTATATTTCCCTCCAGAGTTACCTTTTAGTTTGCCGGTTTGCTGCAGGGCAGAATAGCATAGAGGTCAAGTGCAAGGGCTATGGAGCTATTTGACCTTGGGCAGGTAACTTGATACCCCCAAGCCCTACTTTCTTCATCTGGATAATGAGGACAATTTAGGGCCCCCCCCCCCTCCATAGCATTGTTACAAAAATTAAATAGGAGCCTGCTGTATCTAAAGTACGCAACCATTGGTAGCCTCTGCTCTCCTACAGCCTACACTCCCGGGCAGCACCCATCCTTGATTCGGTGTATCATACAGCCTGATACACTTCAGACAGTGATGACCTATTTGTTTTTTATTCAGGGAAATGGAATTCCTATTTATTGAGTGTTATCAGATGCTGGGCACTGGACTCAGAGCTTTGCCTATATCATGTCTTTTATTTTTCATAACCCTGAAGGCAAATATTTTAATCTCTGGGGCCGGCCGAGTGGCACGTTGGTTAAGAACTGGCTTGGGATGCCAGAGGGCCCCGGTTCGGATCCCACATATGAGGGCCAGTGACACTGCCCTCCACAGCTAAGATGCTGAACAACAGCTCAACCTGGAACTGGGCTGCCATGAGTTGCTGGCGACAGCATAGGCTGCAGCCCCTGTGGCAGTGGGTTGCCATGGGCTACCGTGTGTAGCCAGCAGCCAGCGTGAGCGGCCAGCAGCCGCAGTGAGCAGCCGTCCAGAAGCCAGCGACTGATCTGCCTCACCTGGGAAGAGCGCAATGATGGTGCCAACTTGGGGCAGTGAAGCAGCATCCTCCACAACTAGACTGAAGAACAAAAGGACAGCAACTTGTCTGTTCCCCTTCCCCCAATTCCCCAGCACTGTTCCCATCCCCACAATTTCCCCCCCCAAAAAAAAAAATCTTAAAAAAAAAAAAATTTTAATCTGTGTTTTGCTGATGAGGCTCAGAAAGGCTGAGAAACCGGCCTCTGTCATCCAACGCATCAATAATGAAGTTGGAATTTGAATTGAGATCTGTCAGGCCCAAAACCCAGCCTTTTCCCACTACCCCCCACAAAATCACTTGGCGTTAATGGCCCTGGCCCCACAGTAATGTGGATACTTTATTCTCTATAGGAGAGAAAGTCTCCGCAGGTCTCCCTTTGAGAAAACTTTTCATTAAACATTTTCAAATCCTCATTGTGACATATCTATAGTTTTCTGTTTATTCCACACTACAGAGGGATAAGTTTAATAAAAATAACTCAAAACCATTTGCCTTACTGACAATAATTTCAACATTTACAAAGCTTAAGACTTTCTGAAGTGTCCCAATCAGAGTTTAAAGTTCCGATTTCTTTACATTATCTGAGTTTAATTTTGGGGTGACTTGATTTGAAGACGTGTATGTAGTTGTAAAGTACTGGTTGGGCTTAGGGGGCAAAGTGTAATTTAATGCTAGAGTTTTGAAATTTTAGTGATGAATAGCAGATTTTTTGATGGTGCTGCAGTTATAACTCCTTTTTCATGCCTCTTTCTCCTGCCCTGCGTTTCTTTTGCAGTTTCTAAAGCCGACTCGCCAGAAAAGGATACAGAAACTGATGTCGATGATATCTTTTGGAATACAAGGATTGTACCAATTTTGCATGAATTAGAAAAAGGTAAAAAAAAAAAAGGCAGTTTTTGTTTTAAATAAAAAATATCTGTGGTTATTTATATATCCCCCATTGCCCTGATGTTATTAGTACATTTTGACTATCATTTCTGTGAACATGTTCAAAACCAAATGAAGTCATCTACTTATTTACCCAGAAATGTATGTATTAAATATTATGTGTAAAGCTAATTTTTAGTGAGTGAAATTATACTTTAAATGCAGCAAGAAAACCTACTTCTAAAATTCCTCTTTGGAATATAAATTAATTATCACCTCTGCCCAAGGAAATGCTGGTTTGAGCTCTCTAGGGTAGCAGTTCATGCAAGAAAGTGAAAGGTTAAAACATATTTCAGGCCTCTGAACTTTGACAAAGTCCCATAGACTGGCATCCTTGGCAGATGTGCCCCTCATTTTCCAGATCCTACTTACTCTCCTTAGGTTGAGTGCATCTGTGAGAGATACCACTCAGAGCAGAAAGTGGCCTGGGATGTGCCCAGCCCTTGCACTCTGGTGCTCCAGCAATGAAGGCCCATGATCCACAGGTCTCTGCAGAATTGACCTATGGAGGGCTTTTCAGGGGAATCCGCACCACCACCACCACCACCCCGGCTGCCTTCTCCCTCTTTGCCACTCCTTGGGGAGTCCATTTCTGAAGGTGAAACGTGCTCCTCTGAAGCTGCAATCATGGCCCCCAGGCAGAGGTCAGTGCCAGGCATATAGTACACAGTAGGTCCTCACTAGGAATTTTGGAATGAGAGTGCCTTGGATGAGCAAAGCAGCGTGGTAGCCACAGGAAGAGGCCCTGGGAGAAGCAGGGTAAATGAGTCCTCAGCAGCCAAACAGGGAAGTCGTGCAGAAGACCCATTTCCTAAAAGGTTCAAATGTCCTTGGCTTCCTATTGGTGCTTAGTGGTGTTCACGGTCCATGTGGGAGCCCTGGCCAGGGTTTCTGGTCCTAGTGCTCGCTACTAAGAAAGCGTATGTCCATGGGGAAGAATCACCTAATAATATCTGTGCACAGTGCTGTTCCCACCTGCCAGGTGAGGGGGTGGGTGAGACGACATCATCACCAAAGTCCACCACAGCTCAGAGCCCTGAGAGTGAGAACGTGATGACTTTGTACCATATAGAGGTACTCATTTTCACCCTCTTGCCAGGTTAACTTTGGGCCCTTTCTTTGTGTGTAAACAAACTAGTGAGAAGAGCAGTCAGTCTGGGTAAGAGTTAAATAAGAAAACACACTAGGAAGCACTCAGTGGGGAGGGTGGCTAGCAGCACAGAGGCCTGACTTGGAGGAAGTCTTCAGCCTGAAGGATTTTATGAGGGTTCCGAGGCTCTGCCACCACGGACACCGACAGGAGTTAACAGGAGTTTGCGATTTGAAATGTGGATGACTCTCCCTTCTCAGAAGGATTATTGAAATGCTGAAGTATGGCATGCCTTCTTCCATAGACAACTTCGCAACAAACGGTGGCAGGGCTGGGTGGGTTACTTGACCCTTTGAGATTCTTTCTCTTTCTTTTTTCCCCCTAGTTGGACATAATTTCAGACTTACAGAAATGTTGCAAGAGTCATACAAAGAAATCCTGTATGTCTTGCCCCAGATTCCCCACATATTAACATTTTACCACATTTGCTTTATTCTTTTTCTGCCTTCCTCCTTCTCTCCCTCTTGCTCTATTTTTGTCTACCCTCCCCACACACACAAACACACACACATACACACATTATTTTGTCCTTTTTTAAACCCTTTGAGAACAAGTTGCTGACATGGTGTTCCATATCCCTAAGTTCCCTGGCATTTTTAGAAACAAGGGTATTCTGTTTCGTATGTGGAAAGTACCATGCAATACTATATACACCTTATTCAGATTTTGCCAGTTATCCTAATAATTTCGTTTATAGAAAAAAATTTCTGGATCACAAGTTCCAATTATTTGGTATGTCTCTTTCATGATCTTGACATATTTGAGGAGTACAGGCCAATTGTTTATAGACTGCCCCACAAATTGGGTTTGTCTGGTATTGGGTTGTTGGAAAAGTCATGACACATGTTTGCAACAGATGGCACTAGTTCATTTTTGGAAGTACTAGAGTCATTCACATCTATGTTATTGCTATGTCGTTTGACAGATGACAGTTCTAGCTTCATTCTAAAAAAAATTTGAGCGATTTGGTTGAGTTTTGGAGATTTTACAACAAGTTGAAGATGGAAGACCAAACTGTGCATTTTTGCCATATTTTACTGTTTTATTTCCATAAAGGGAAGAACGCACATCAAGCTTGTGAAAAGTTGCATAAAGTTTTGGTAACAATGCTCTACAAGAACGTCAGTGCCAACGATGGTTCACGAAATTCCATGCTAGTGATTTTTATCTCAGCGACGCTTCTCGGTCAGGGAGGCCCACCGAGGTTGATGATGACAAAATTAAGGCATTGATCAAGTCAAACCCACATTACATGACACGAGAAATATTGAACATCTATCATTCAAGCATTCACAACCACCTGAAGGACCTCAATATTTAGGTTCCGCATGAACTCAAAGAAGTTTATTGACAGCGCATATAAACATCTGCAATATGTTCATTAAACGTGAGGAAAACAATCCTTTTTTGAAGCAACTGATAACTGGTGATGAGAAGTGGATTGTTTACAACAAT